TAAGGGTTTATAAAAATGTCATAACCGATCGCTTTATTATTTAGTATGTACTATTGAATATTTATCACTGTACTTATAATTTCCTATAAATATCCTTTCGGACGCCATTTGCTTGTTTTTATTCTCTATGTTATTGACACCTTTTATAAGAGATGTATTCTACCTATTTCACTGAAGGTGATAAAGGACTGATAGTTGAATTTCCTCGCAATGATATGGGTGATTCTTATGTTTTCATTGAGTTTCATATAACCTTGCTTCCTTTAAATTCACTTCTGTCTTGTGTTTCAATTGGCGTATTGATTCACATGTCAAGAATACAATCTGCACCACCCGAGTTCGATTCCCGGGTCGAAACTGCTGTCCATTCTTGACAAAAATATCTTGTGAGACAAGGCTCTAGGAAATTCACTGTAAACATGCTGCCTACTCATATCATAGTGGGAAAATTTAACTATCACTCCATCATATTAAACGAAATACAGTGAATTCGGATTTACTGGTAGTCTCGAAAACATACTTATAAAAAAGGAGCACTTTGTCCATCCGATACGGTTTTTACTACTGTTTTTTATTTTGATCTATTCTTACTTATTTATTGACTCTGACATTTTCATTTTCTGCCTTAGTCTTATCTCTATTCTCATTATTATAAAGTCTTACACAATTTTTCAGTTGCAGAGATAATGCCAAATGTTATAGAGCCGTCCTTTGGCATAGGTCGCATTATGTACTGCATTTTCGAACACAACTTTCAAGTTCGCAAGGATGATGAACAGAGAACCGTGAGTCTTGCTACTTTGTAACTATATACGCCTTGGAAGTTGTATTATATCTTTTTAAATTTACATTTTTTAAAATATTCTTAACTTCTTTTGATCTGTTCCTCTATTACATAAACTCTCGAACATCTTGACCTCGCTCAGTTTCTTACTTTGCCGCCAATTATCGCTCCCTACAAATGCTCCTTACTTCCACTGTCCAGCCAGCCTGCATTCATGCCCTTTATTAGGATGCTTTGTAAGTGATTTTTATCTGTTGATTATTAAATACAAACTATTTTTCACTTTGCAACTATCAGGGATTCCATCATTAAGCTTAACAAATAGTTTTAATTTATTGAATACTGTTGCGTCATTACTCCAGTAAGATAGTGATATTACTATGCGACACTTTTTTGTGGAGCACACTTAGTTTCAATTTACAATTTATTATATCGTTGATAGTCTTTTTCAAACGAAAAATAATTTATTATGACATCATGATAGCTGACATTTGTTTAAAATGGTTACTTCCTTTTCAGCCGAGAAACTTACACTTTTGGGTGTTTCTCATCGCGTTGATTCAAGTACTGGATCTATTGGCCGGAGATATGCTCGTACAGATCAATTAGCTATTCCTTTTGGAATAACAGTTGACTTTGATACGGTTAACATCGAACCACCCAGCGCTACACTCCGAGAGCGTGACAGCATGAACCAGATTCGTGTTGAGGTTAGTATCTTTGGTCTTAGACTTATTTAAATGGTCTTTCAACTAATTTTACTTTGCCACTACTTTCGAACACTACTTTTCGGCTAAACTTTATTTTTACTATATCTAATCTAATGTACAATTGTGCTGGAGATTCAAGAATTTGCATGTAAACGCGTCAGATTAGATAATTGAAATCGGTTTAGATTTACAAAATTTAGCCACAGCTTTGTATCGTATCCTGCGACACCTGTAGCGCTTATTAAACCGCTGGTGATTGTATTATTATATACACGTTAACATTATTATAATGGAACCACTTTCTTCATTACCCAATGTTCATGCGGATTTTAATTCAATACATTCCTTATATACTTTAGATTCAAATGCAGTTTAGGCCTCCTTTATGCACTTAAAGGGAGTCAAATTCAGAATGTGCGGCTTCGGAGAAACTATATTAGTAACAGTGAGGTACGGGCACATACAATATTTGATTCAAAACGGGCTTTTGGACCCAGACTTATGGTAGTGATATATCAAGAGGGCAAATGTACGCTTG